TTAATATTCACATGTTAGACATCCATCCTCAATTGCCTTTGTTCAATCTCTGAAACCACATTGCCTGTTCATGTGCCAACTACCAGTGTGTCAAGGCTTCATATTATTAAACTATTGGTGGAAAATTATATTACTAAAAGTTTTTTAAAATCTTATCTAGATTAGTTTATGGTCATTAGCATAATATTATAAAAATATATAAATGGATTTCTGACATTATCGCCTATTTGGCAATATTTTTAACACATTGCAAGAAATTTCTTGTGTAATGTAACATCCTAATACAAATTAATGACTATCTCAATAGAACCAAATATACTTTTCTCATAATGATGTTGGCCAAATTCACACTAATATTAAGGCATCTCTCTCCTAATCGCTTTCTACGGAAGGCCGACATATTCATTGTGTAACATATACATGTTAGAATTATTCTACTTCCCATATTAATGTGGAGGGCCAAGTCAATGAAACGATGAATCAAAATGTAAAGAGAAATAAAAAATAATGATCTGCAAAATATAAATGAACATGGAGATTTACGTGAAAAACTCAAATTTGAGAAAAAATTAATTAAAGGGTAAATATTTATGAAAATTTTTTATTTATTTTATATCCAAAAAGATTTTATAATTTTTTAATAAAATGCAAGGTTTTTTCAAAATTTATTATAGTTCTATTCGGATTGTCATTTCGGATAAAATTTCGGAAAATTAGATTCTTCGCGTACCCGATTGAATCATCTCTCAGTAGTCTCTCACTTCTCTTAGCTCTCTTGTTGGCCAATTCTACGGCCCAGAAATAGACAATACGTGTACGTTTCTTGTCGAGTATTACTTTCTGTTAGGCTGAGATCTTCATCGAGCACTGTACTGATGAGTGAGATATGAAAGTAAGTTAATGCATTAAAAGTTTCGCTAAGTTAATAATCTACATAAAAGAATTCGTGGCCAAATGTTTAAACAAGAAATTTCATTTAATATTTCTTATTTTATAAACTTTATGACATTACTTTAGGATCATCCAAACACAACAATGGCATCCGACCACCATCATCACTAGATTTCGATCATTTGAACATCATCACGCGACTTTGATCATTTGATCATCATGACCCAACTCCTGTCTTTCAAGCAACGTTGCTCGATTACAGCCATTTGACCACCATCTCATGAATCAATCCACTAATCGTGGTCGCCCTACTAAACCGACATTTGTTAACTTTGTCCCTCGTCATCACTAATATTATCGACACATGCCATTGCTTGTAACTAGGGGTGTCAAAATCAAGTTTTGGGTCAGGTTTGGGTCGAACCCGGAACTGACTCGGGTTCAAACGGGTCGACCCTAACCCGACCCGATTATGTAAACATGTCAGAAATACGGATTTGGACCTGACTCGTAGTGTTACCGGGTTAACCCGACCCTACATGGTTGACTGGAGGATGGCGACAATGGGGCAACAGGAAGCTCGGACGTGAGTGCCAGCTGGCAAGCTCGGGTGAGAGTGCGTGGGCAGCCTCGGGTGCGCGTTGGCGGGTTCGGGCAGCCTTGGGCGTGCACTGGCAGTTTCTGGCTTAATGCGGGTGGACGTGGGCAGCAACAGGTGGGTGCGCGGGAAGTGCAGTTAGGCTCGAGCAGCGCTATCAGCTCATTTCAAATGGGTTTCCAGGTCACCTAGAAACCCGATGGGTCAACCTGAACCCTACCCATTTATTCAAACGGGTCGAATCCGGGAACCCGAACCCGACCCGATCCATTTTGAAATTAGTCATGTCTAATCCGAAATTTTCAGGTCGAATTCGACTCGGATTTTCGAGTCGTGTCAAATATTAACACCTCTACTTGTAACGCTAATGCATACTGCTGACCTCAACATCGACAAACCGCTGACTTATTGTGGTCCCCAAAAATGTTGAGACACCTCACGCTAATAAGGTTAATGTACACATCAATTTTTTCACACAAAAATTATAGTTTCCCTTGTAACTCATCAATTGAGTATAGTACACATTTATCACTCTAAGTCTGATGTGCCCCTACGGCCCTACACATAATCAAATAAGAATAATGGTGATTAACCGTACTTAAAAGATATTTATCTTCCCTAATCAATCTGATCAAGACACTTTAATCTGCTTTTAAGAACTAGCTTACAGCTGTGTGGCTTTATTAACTTTTTTTAATTAGCAGCTAGATTAGATGAAATGCTTAATTTAGGCACCTTTAGAACTAAAGCTCCCAATGTGTAGGCAGTGCTTGATCTTTGGTACAAGTTTCAAGAACAAAAGATAGCTATTTTATATAGATGACCAGAATTCAAACATTGTAACTGTTCCATGATAAGCATTCAATAAACCTATCTGGCTATGAACCTATAAGACACCTATGCCAATTGCATGTGATAATATTCTGTATAAAAGCTAAAATCAGTACTTTCTTAACAAATTTTCAACAATTAGATAACCTCCATATTATATGGTAACCATACTATCTAACTCAAGTTAAGTTAACATTGTAGCTTAAGGCTTCATTTGGGTCAACTTCCTTACTGCTTATTAAAGAATGTTTTTAATATCAAAATTTTAAAAATAGTAAGAAAGCGGTCCCAAATAAAGCTTTACTGTTTCTTAAAGCAGCTTTTTAATAAATTTTTTTTAATTTTTTACTAAAAAACTGCTTTAAAAGTAGCAAGAAAATCGTCCCAAATGAAGCCTAATTATTTTATTATTAATTACTATTAATATTATTATTATTATTACTTAGGAATAAATGCTTGCATGTATTGATATATTATATAAATTATATGGATTTATTTATTTATTTTAAGATTAATATTATATATTAAAATTTATATTATACTAATTTAAAAGTAAATCGAAAAACTTTTACTTATTTTGTTACAATAATAATGATTTATAATTTGTATTTGTTAAAATAAAGATTAATTAAAGGGGGTGTGCCCTTTGGAATTTTAAGATATTATTATATATCATATATTTTTAGTTTAGTTGTCATGAAATATTAAATTAATGGCCATCCAAAATTGTAGAATATAAAATTATGGAAATCTAATAAAAAATATTGATGATAATTCTAAAATAGCTAATTTTAGTCCCATCAAACAATAATAAATTTATAGCCCCATGTACAATCGACTTGAATCCGGTCAACCTAAGTTGGACTTGTTTAATAAATAGGCCAAAAAATTAAACTCAAATCCAATTCTCTAGAAACCCAAATCCTACCCAATAACCCAAAATTAAAAATATTTTTATTAGCTTATTAATTATAAATTTTAAGTTGACTAGTGAAAATAAGAAGATTATATCAATAAATAAAAAAATTTAAGAAATAAATAATTGAGTCAATTTCGTCTCAAAATTAGTTTGATAGGTCAACCCGAACTTGACCCGTTTAATAAATAGGTCATTATGGACTATTTAAATCCGACTTGTTTATTAAATAGGTAAACCCGATTCCAAAATTTTTTGATCGGGTTGCCCGATTGAGTCATTTATTAACATCTCTAGGAAGCACAAAGGAACAATGTTAAAAAAGAATAGAATAATACAAAATAGAATATTAACTTAAATTAAAAGACTAGACTTAAAATAAGCAAAAATACATCCAAAAACCATATAACAATCATCCTATAAAATATATTAATAGAGCTCATTCAAAAAAGTAATTTTTTAGAATTTTTTAATCACTTTCCTTCTTATTATTCCTATTAAAGATCATAATATTTTTTAAAATCTTTATTTAACTAGTGTGACTGGTTTTTAAGAGTATATACATCGAATAAAATCATAGAATACTTGACAGTTCTATCCAATGTTTTGAAAACCGGACCAGCCGGTTCAACCGGTTGAACCGGTACCCGGCTGGCCGGCCGGTTCGGTTTTCAACTGGAACCAGGCAAGCAAATGATCGGATTTGAACCGATCGGACCGTCGGTCGGACCATGAAACCGGCAAACCGGAAACTGGGCGAGAACCGGCCAGTTAAGCTTAAACTCAATTTATAGCCGTTTGATTGAGATCATGCGGTATTTTATGTATTAGTAAAACATTTAAAACTATAATAGTGTAAAACAGGAAAAAGTGTAAACCTAATTTTATTTTCTACTGCTTCCGTAACCCTCCCGTAACTCCCGAAGCCGTCCGTCTCCTCCGATTCTCTTCCTTAGTCGCTGCAGCTCCTCCTTCGTCCATGAGTGGATCATTGGCCAACTTTTTCTTTTCTATTCTTGGCGACGGATTTGCGTTCTTCCTTCATCGATTCAGCGCCGGTAACATTGATTCTCTTCTCTCATTGCTATTTTATTTTTTTATTTTTTGAAAATTTCCTTTTATAATGTTGGCTTTAATTCTCATAAAGTAATTAAGAAATAAATTACTGTTTGAATTGGTATTTTCTGTTTCGCCCACACCGAGGAATTAGGTTACGAAAATCTTTTATGTTTTGATTAGGGTTCAGTGGAAGTTCGGGAATTTAAGCCCTAAACTTTTATTAGCCATTAGTGAATGCATTAGAGGAAAAATTTTCTTTCATTTTATAAGTTTTAATAATATTATTATTTATTACGTCATTCGGTTCGACCCCGGTTCGACCGGTCGAACCGGTCAAACCGTGAACCTCTCCTTCTTCCGGTCCGTTGTCCGGTTTTCAAAACCTTGGTTCTATCCAAATTGGCCAATAAAAATGAATATATATTAATTTAAAATAGTGTTGATTGATCAATCTTAATAGAATAGAATTATTCTTAATTCTTACATAATTTTAGTTGGAAAGGGAAGATTTAGTCATCCTCATTTGGCCATCATTGCGCTCTCTCTCTCTCTCTCTTCCCATGATAATTCAGTAGCTTTACTTCATATCAATGAGTAGTCATTTTGCTCTCTCTCTCTCTCTCTCTCTCTCTCTCTCTCTCTCTCTCTCGCTACTCAAAAAGTGCAGAAGGAAATGAACTTTACTCTATCAACATAATTGCTTCCTTACACACAAAAAATATATATATTCAGGAAAATAGCAAGAGTAATTAACATTAGTAGGACCACGCATCAAACAAAATGAAATTAAAATTCAAAGAAAAAAAGAAGAAGAAAGAAAAGGCATTGAAGATCGGATCACATAACTACAAATCATGCCCCATCATCTCAGATATACTATCAAGGTGCGGCCTCCACACCCCCACCCTCCCCCTTCTTCTATCCCTCTGCCTCTCCACCAAAACTCTCTCTTTTATCATCTCCACCCTTCTCCCCTCCTCTCCTCCCATCTCCCTCCTCCTTGCCCCCCTCGCCCCCGCCTTCCCCGAAACCGGCATAAGAAAGTAAATCTTTCCACGCTTGAGTTCCGCCGTGGGCGGTAGAATTACCGACTCCCGAGAGGCTGAAGCTGTGGAATCATCATCAATGGATGCGGGGGAAGGTGGCTTGCGGAGGACGTGATTAGGGTAGGCTCGGGTGATGTCGCCTGCTTGAATGGCATGGCTGATCTCTTCCACGCGGCCATTGGCATGGACGATACGGATGACATCAAGAGCGCCGCAAGGGAGGATGCATGAGATGCAACACCTTATTGCCTCCTTCATGTTGGATTTAATTAGAGGGTGAAGAGGATGGGTAGTGCAAAGGAGATGAATGGGTTTTTAAATAGGGAAATGAATGCACATGAGAAAGGTGCTATTTAGATGAGCGTGTATTATTTTAGACTGCTCAAATTAGTTCAGTAGTTGGGAGCTTCGACTTTCATCACATAGGGAGTTTTTTTTTTTTGAAATATTTAGGACAATTAAAACAAATTTGTAGATATATCACATACGTAAGACTCGAACTCAAGATATCTTGGTTGGTAGCCAAAGCCCCTAACAAACAAACCAAAATGAGCTTTATTGGAAATTTATTTTAGTTTATTAGTTGAAAGCTTCGGCTTAGATCATTTATAGAAATTATGAGTTATAAAACTTCCATATTATGCCATTTGCATAGATTTACTTTTAATTAAAATTCTCGCAAAATTTTAAAATAGTTTATTATGATTTTTAGAATAAAATTTAATTATAATTAATCTAAAAGCTTAATTTATTTTTAAAATTAGTATAATATAATTTTCTTATATATTACATTCATCTCAAAGTAAATCTAATAACTTCAAATTTTTTAAAAAATATTTATTTCATCCTTCGAGTTGATTGAAACTCCAATATTTTAATCTAATTTTTTTCGGTCTCAAAATTATTAATCTAACTAATGTTAGAATCTGACTATTTAATAACCTAATGAAATTATGATATATTAATTAAAAATATTAAATATTTAATTAATGATAATTTAGTTAATATTTAAATAAATACATGGTGATTTCAATCTTTCTTTTTATAATTGATTATTGTCACCATCAACTAGCTCAACAAAACTGTTGACATGAAGATGCCATCAAAATAAAAATAAAAAAAGCAAGAGTTTTAGCTTTTCTTAGCACTAGGCATCTAGATCCATAAAATAATGTGAATTAGATTTCTATGCGAAAATCGGGAAAACAACCATAGGACATTGTGTAGTTGCAAGAATCCTCTAGCTTTTGAAGTTTTTCAAAAGCAACCTACCCCTAAGCAGTTAGAAGGAATTCAAAACAAACTGTCATATAGATAATTAAAAAGAGAAAAGAAAACGAAAAGAGTGTTTGGTTATTGTGCACTTTAGTTGCAAAATTAACAAAGGCGAGTAAGACAAGTCTGATGTAACATAAAACATAAATCCTCAACATTTCTAATTCAAGTTTGAGGCAAGTGCAATTTTATGTTCTACTTGTCTCTATGCCATACGAAAAATCGTAATTGAGAAGTTGTGTGGTTCAGTGATATCTTGATAATAGTGTTATTTTGATAAAAATGCATCGATGAAACACGAAAAATTTGGCTCACTCGTATACTAATTAAACAATGTTATGTTATCGAGAATGATCCATGGTGATTTCAATCTTTCTTTTTATAATTGATTATTGTCACCATCAACTAGCTCGACAAAGCTGTTGACATGAAGATGCTATCAAAATAAAAATACAAAAATGCAAGAGTTTTAGCTTTTCTTAGCACTATGCATCTAGATCCATAAAATAATGTGAATTAGATTTCTATGCGAAAATCACTTAAAGGGGAAACAACCATAGGATATTGTGTAGTTGCAAGAATCCTCTAGCTTTTGAAGTTTGTCAAAAGCAACCTACCCCTAAGCAGTTAGAAGGAATTCAAAACAAACTGTCATATAGATAATCAAAAAGAGAAAAGAAAACGAAAAGAGTGTTTGGTTATTGTGCACTTTAGTTGCAAAATTAACAAAGGCGAGTAAGACAAGTCTGATGACATCCATAGATAGCTTGAATGGTTAAGTAGCATTGACGCGGGCTATAGTGCATTTCTTGCTATTGTGACAAGCAAGAGATTCATCGACAAGGACTGCAGTGAGTGATTCGTTTATTCTTGAAAGGCTTTTAGAAGTAGGGCAACTAATGTTGTTATTACAACATTTACAACAATCAAGATTTGTATCTATAAAGAGCATAACGAGCTTATCCATTTCAAACTAACTGAAACTATTTCTTGCTCTTGTTGCCTCAAATATTTATTCCCATAACTCATTGGCCTTCACTTAAATTTTGCAATTTCATTAACACATATGGTACCTTTGTGAAATTTACATGATACTAGAAAATTTGTACAAGCTCTTGGAGTACATATTTTATTTGTTAAAGTAATATTATGTTATACTTATATGATATAATAGTACTTTTTGTATTATGATATTTGTCTCATATTGTTTAATTTGTAATAAATTATGTATGATTTTTTAATGCTTCGTGTTATTTTTAAAATAGCACATGTCACACTATACACTATAACTCCACAGGACCTTTGTGTTAGAGTGTGTTATTCATCATTGATATGTACGAGGCAACATCATCTATATTAGTAGCCAACTATGATCCTTAGCTTTATTAGCCATCTTATGTTTCGTTTCCTCCTTGCAAAAAGAGATTTCTCTAAATTAAACGTTAGGGTCATACAAAGAAATACTCAAGGCTTGAGGACCAACAAGGGATACTAACAACGATGATTATGAGAATGATGATGATAGTGATGATAACATAGGTGGTGACTTTTATTGTGAGCATCATCATGAGGTTGGCACCCCATGTGGCCTTCATGGTGGTGAGTTCACTGAAGATGGAGCTTTTGGATCATTCTATGGTAGTTGGTACCATGATGGGTACTTATGTTGGCTTTTAATCTGGCTAGGAAAATGGCTCTTAATACCAGCTTGGCCCCTCAGTTGAAAGGCACTTGCCTTTTAGACAAGCTTTCTTGTTTGATTTATAAAGACATTTGGGCTTGACCTTGATGCAACTATGATAAAATGTAAGTCTTCAATAGGTCAATCTTGACTCCATGAGGTTTTCAATAGCCTTCTATAAAAGGCTCATTGTGGCCTTTAATTGATGGGAAGCTTGACACAGGTGTGGCTTCAATTGTCGCGGTCCTAAGAATGAAGATATCTTGAGTTGCAACTTTTTTTTTCCAACTTCTATGAACTCATCTTGATTTAGAAGGCCAAATTTCTTAGCAATAATGTTAGTTATCTTCTTTTCATCGAGTTTTTCTGCCACTTGTTATAATCTATATGTATCCTACTGATGATGCCTAAAAGGAGAGTTTACTAATGATTTAGCTAACTATTCTACCTGTTTAATCAATAACCACAAAGGAACAAGCCACAGGAGATAAGTAGACCTTGAAGACCATCCATATGAGCCAAGGGAGATCAATGTATCCCAAATATTGAAGACTCATGAAGGTGAACCTTCCAAGACCCAAAGTCACGAGCAATTATTCCGTGCGGACACCGGATGGTTCTCCGGTCCTCGGTACCGAGCGCGGTACATTTTTGAGATGACGTGACGCATTTTTATTGGTCTCCGGACGCTCTCCGGACTCCACACATAATAATAAATCCAAAGTCACAGGACTAAGTAGTACTCTTATCAGAAGCATGTGTCTGCCCATGCGGATATTGGCAATTTGGACCAAATGGAAGAGAAAAAAATCATAGCGACTAGGATTTTTATTAGGAAGGAGAAGCAGATAGAAGCAAGGTCCAGTCACAAAGAACTCCTCTTTTAAGATACAGGTGCAACGATTTCATCCCACATTCTGTTTCCAATCAGTTGAATCTATAGACATATGGGATCTATTTAGCTGCAGGAAAAGTAATACGTCGTTACTAAAGCTAAACTACTACTTGTTTAGTAAAGAAAAAAATAAGTAATAGGAAAGAAATCCAAGCCAATGAGCTGAGATACTCACTCACTGAAAGTTCAATTGACGAAAGTGTAATTGATATGTTCTTCATAAGAACTACAGCAGTTTTCTAAAAAAAAAGTTATCTTCTGCCAAATCAAACAACTATATTATAAGATCGACAATTCGAAACAACAACTTGCAGTAAATTCCGCTAGAAAATCTCGAAAATAGGGTTAAAAGCAGAAAAAAGAGGTGCGATTGAAGGTTCCATGGAAGGAATAACAAAGAAAATTTCTGTACCTGGAGGCGGCTCAATTGATAGCGTTCTTTCCAGCCCCATTTCTTCCTCTCTCTCCATCTCCCTCCCTCTCAGCTCTCCCGGCGAAGCAATAGAATGCAGAAAAATTACTGGAACTACAATAAAAATTGTCTTCTGCGTCCCGCTGTGATGGTGTGAATTTTGTGCTTTCAAAGTTCAGGAGAAACTTAGAACGTCCAGTGACAAAAGGCCAATGGAATTTACCAAACGAATACACCTCACAGGATAAAGATTTTTAGGTAGGAACACGTTAAACATATATGAATATATTTATTTATTTTAATAAAATCAAGTTTGATCGAAGTTAAAAGAAGAAGAACAACAACAACAACAACATCAAGCCTTTATCCCACTATGTGGGGTCGGCTACATGAATCCTTTTTCTCCATTGTGTCCTATTAAAAGTCAAATTCTCGTTTAAATCTAATAAAGAAAGGTCATTCCTAATATTTTCTAACCAAGTCTTTTTAGGTCTACCCCTACCTTTCTTAACATAAGTCAAATCTAATACCTCTACTCTTCTAACCTGGTCATCGCAAGGCCGCCGTTTTATGTGACCAAACCATCTAAGGCGACTTTCTCTAATCTTATCTTCTACTGGAGCTACTCCAACCTTTTCACGTATATGCTCATTTCGTATCCTATCTCTAAGGGTAAAGCCACTCATCCACCTGAGCATCCTCATCTCTGCCACACTTAACTTAGTATTATGCTTCTCTTTTAAATTACTCTTTTGATCGAAGTTAAAAGAGTAATTTATTTAATCTTTTTTTTTTGGGAGAAGATAAATATGGAACGTTAAATTTAAATAACATAATATTATGATTGCTTGAGACTTTTTCCAAATCTTGTAGAAGCAGCCAAGCTGATTTCGGGTCCATTTGGGAAGTCTTTTTTTATTTCTTTTCTATAATGTAGTTTAAGAATTTTTGTACTAAAATTTTATTTTGAGAAACAATAATAAGCCGTTCCAAACAAAACCCTCAACAGAAGCTGATAGGTCATGTATTATACAAAAATTATCTTGATCGAACACAAATCTCGATATATATTTGAATGGAGAAGTTTCTAATTAAATTTAGGATAATTCGAACTCTAATTTTAGCGATTTTATAGTCAAATTGAACGTTTCGATGGAATGAACCCTTCAATGTTGAAAGTGATATGCTCATATCCAAATAAGCCAAGATTAAGCAATTGAAATATAATTGATGTTGAATATCATCAAGTTTTATGATGAATTCTAACTATTTTAAATCTAATTAATGCCGAAATTCACCAATCTTGAACTTTAGCTACTAATAATTGCATGAAATTCTAAGTAATTTAATTAACTTTATGAAATCTTAGGTGGAGAATATAAATAAGAATACTTAAGCTTCGTTTGGGATGACTTTCTTACTGTTTTTTAAAACAGTTTTTTAATTAAAAAAAATTAATTTTTTCCTACTAAAAAATTACTTTAAGAAGAAATAAAAAAGTTATCTCAAACGAACCTTTAATCTTATAATAAAAACTCTTGCACAATTTTTCTAACCCTGACCTTCTTTAGAAAACAACCACCAAGTCCTTTTTTATTATGATTTTTCTCCCAGGATCAATGAAGATATTGAGAAGCTTACTTGCTATGAGATCACTCTTAAAAGTATGACGCGTGTTTTGCATGATTTCTTCATGTCTTTAGAAATTCACGTGCAATAACTCATTAGTTGTAAGCTATTTATTTATTTTTATTTTTTTATTGATCATCATTTTCGTGCGAGCATCATATGGCATTATGATGATCTTTAAGCTTAAATTTTGTGATCAAAATAATATTACAAAAAATTGAAAAAAAAAGGCTTTAAATATCGGATCGGCCAGTTTAACCGGGAACCTGCCGACTGGCAAGTTCTGGTTCACTTCAAAGCCGGTTACGTAGAGAACTGGAAGTTCCGGCGTTCCGATCCCAGTTCACTTTATAGCCAGTTTCGTAGAGAACTAGAATTGGACCGTGTGAACTGATGGTTCGACCGCCGAATTGTGAAACCAATACACATTTCAAATAATTGAGCGGTTCACGCAGAAAGCGTTTTGAGTCATTTATATAAGATCATATGGCTTAGAATTAAAGGAAAGCTTATACAGTTATTCGAAACAAAAAATCCTAATATGCTTTGTTCGACATCTCACCTACTTTTTTAATTTCTTCTTGGAAATGTTAACAAAATTTACAAAACTTTGCAATTTCTTTTTTGTTTTAATCGGTTCTTATGTTGATTACTTGAGTATGTTCAATTGTTCACAATTTCAATTTTCCTAATTTGAACTTTTTGCCTTTTTTGGATCTCCTTGGATAAGAGAAAGTTGCATTGAGTTTTTAATTTTTCAATTCTAGTTAGTTGATAATTATATTGTAAGATTAGGATGCTTTCATTTTTAATATTGTTTAAAATTTGTTGTCAATGAGAATGTTGCATTTTCAATTGTGGTTGGTTTTCCTTCATTTGATTATGTTTAATTTTTATTATATATTTGCAAATAATTCTATCATTATTATAATTTTTAAATATAATAAGTATTTATTACGTAATCCGATTTGACTCCGATCGAATCATAAAACATCTTCTTTTTCTGGTTCATTGTACGGGCCGATTTTCAAAGCCTTGGAAAAAACTATCTACTCCCTCCTAAGCACATGTACACCACCACAACATGCATATAAATTAATATAAAATAAGTGTTCAAATTATAAGCACAATCTTTAAGATGCTACACTTAAATCTATTAGATCAAAGATAGTATGAATCAATAATACATATTCTATAGAGACCACCTACAAGTCTAACTAATACATAATCTAATAATAAAGCCATTGAGTAAGTTATAATAATAAAACTCAATATTATTTATCTACTTGATCACATAAGCTAATTAATTAATTTGCTAACAACACTAGTTAAGCAAGTGTAAAAGAGGGGGTAAAAAATGAAGAAGCAAGGAAAGAAATGCTTATGTGAGATTAATAGACTTATAAGCATAATGCTAATATATTCCACTTAACAATTGAGCTCAAGATTATGCATAACAATCACCATTAAATAATTATGTTCAAGAAATTATAAGAATAAATGAATAATTAAATATGATATAGGAAGTATAACTATAGAGTATAAGACATAATAGTTTTTGTAATATCTATGTTAAAGCCCTTCTCCAACTTACAAGAACATTATCTAGAATTTGATACTATAGATCCAATCTCCGAGTAGGTAGAAAAAAAATTGCAACCTTTGTACTCCTTTTAATGGATAAAGTACAAGCCCAAACACCTAATTCTTATGGCCAGACTACCGACTCCCTAAAATAAGGAACCTTAAAATCAAAGTTCTCTTGAACCTTACAAACCATAAATGACTATAATCTTACATTTACACCTTAATCTCTATTTAAATAATGCTTTGTTTGGGACTGCTTTTTTACTGCTTCTTAAAACAGATTTTTAGTAGACAATTTTTAATTTTTGTGCTAAGAATCTGTTTTAAGAAGCATGAAGAAAGCCATCCAAAACAAAGTCTAAGAGATGATACATAAATGAACTAAAATTTATAAGGGATTTAATGAAAAACACATTACTAATAAGTGAAGGCTTAAACTAAAAATATTTTGATGAACACTTCAATTTTCTTCTCAAAATCTTCAAAATATTATCATGAAAGCACACAAATTTGATTTAGCATTAGATAAATTCTCTCCAAGTAACCAAGATTTATAGCCTCATTTATCACATAAATATAGCTAAAAACAAATTCAAAAAATCCTTGAAAAAACCCTCCAGATGGCTCCCCCAAAAGGCACAAAACTATTCTATTAAATTTGTGCTAAAACCTGCTTTAAAAAATAATAAATAAGTTATCCAAAATGAATCTTAAGAAGTTTTATAGATAATATAATATAAAAATACTAATAAGAAGTATATACTATAATATAAGGCAAATAACGAAATAAATATAATAGAATTAAAATTAAGCTCACATTTATTTAGTAATTAAATTAATACATAATTAGCATAATTAAGCAAATTCAATGAAAGAGGTGAAATATTTTGAAACAATTAAATTTTCCAAAATATAAACCATTTAATTAAAGGAGTATTAGTTTCAAATTAAGTTTATGAACTTTAATTAGACAATTAATGATATAGTTGCCATGATTAAACCTATAAAGAAAATTTAATGAAAAGAATGAAAACCTTAAGATCAATTAGACTTGATATCATATAAATATGATGAACATCATAATTATGAGTCAATTAAGTATATATATATAGAAAGTCATCCAACTTAATTAGATTCCAAAAATTTATAAGATAATTTTAATAATTTTATAAATAAGTGTATAGTATATCCAATTACTTTTATTAGATTATTTATCATAATTGAGTCTATTAATAAGAACAAACTTAGTTAAATACATTGAACCTATTGCAACACATTCACTAAGCTATTATTATCTTTTGAGCTTGAAATCTTCACTTAAATCTTTGTCTTATGTCCTTTAACCACCCTCAAAGCACCTATAATGAAAAATATCATCATTTTGACGATTGCTACAGGATGATAAATACTATTAACTAATTAGTTGACATCAACCATATTTGTTATCATCAAAGGAATACTAGGTCAATAATGAGGATAAATTATTACGTGCGGAGTCCGGATGGGTGAACCATCTGGATTTACTAAGTAATACTCAACAAATATTCAGTTTTGAGTATTTACTTAGTATTTGCTCAGTATATTTATGAATTTTACGAGTATTTGTTCATTTGTTGAGTATTTACAAATACTCAGCAAATCTAGATGATTCTCCCGTCCGAACTCCGTACGTAATAATTTCTTCAATAATGAGACATGTGGTCTTGAAAATTATAAAAAAAGAATATTTTTTCTTATAAGTAGCTTTGCAATTATATGACGATAATGAACGCAATAAGATTTTGATTAATGAGTACTTTGAAATTTCACCTACCAACTTGGTGAGATGTCATATATTCTTTATTGGATGATTTTTCAACTACTCTATAAATACTAATATGAGCATATGCAACACACGCTTCTAGGTAACATATGCTTCAATAATATCACATAAATAGCCACATTTGATCTAATCAAATCCTAATCATCCTCTTAATATCAAAATTGAAGCAAAGGTGAGTAGAGGAAATATATTTTTTATTTTATTTTATTATTATTCTCTTAAAAAAGGCAACTCTCTGGAATTGAATTATGCTTGATGAATTTACATATATGTCATATAATTTTTATGTTTTTACATATCTAACACTTAAAATTTATTATTTATTTATATAACATTCAAATCTTCAAATCACATAAAGAATATTGCTAATATCAATTTTTCATTCATATATTTTAATGTAATTTAGACACTCAAATTTCATATAAATAAATATCAAAGTCTAAATACTATATATATATATACATAAGAATAATGTGATATATATGAAAATTCCTTATTTTTTAATTTAAATGTTTTGTTTTAATGTAATTTAGACATTTAAATTTTATATAAATAAATATCAAGGTCTAAATACTATATATATACAAATATATAAGAATTATGTGATATGTATGAAAATTCCTTATTTTTTATAATTTAAAATACAAAATATAATTTAATTGAAACTAAAAAATAAAAAATGTATTTAATTACAACATTTGAAAATATTTATATTTTTTTTGGGAAACTCAAAAATATTTATAAGAAAAAATGTAAGTTAAATTGCTAACTAAGATACTTACTGTCAAGGAGTCTCCTTTCCATGTGGGGCTCAGCGTGTTAAACACGCAAGATAACATATATTATTCCAGCATTTATCTGTACTTTCAATTTCTAATGAATACAGTTCGTCGTTCGATGCCTTATAGTATGTATGGGCAGCTATCTTCCGTAGACTTTTCTATCAGAGCTTTTATCGACCGTTGAGTGTCGTCGAAGCCAGATCTGCACCATTCGTATCAGAGAGTACGGGCGACTGCATTCATATTTTCCTGCAGAAAATATATCTTGGTATCAAATCACATCAACGTGGACTTCTAACACGATTTCGATCTCGATAGCTTGTTGAGCTAGAATAGCGCATTGCTCGACTCGCGAGCTTGTCAAGCAGCTTGCATTGCCAGTGGGGAAAATAAAATCACGGATGGGAACATGAAATCAAGCGCGGGAAACTGCTCGACTCGCGGGCTTGGCGACGTCGAAGCTGGCGGCAAATCGCGACCTGGAAATTGTTGATGCCGACACGGACGTTGGTGGCGGACGTGGATACTGGCGACAGAAGTGGAATTGGCGATGGAATCGGACACTAACAACGACGAGGGAAGCTGACCATAGACGAGGAGCTGGTGACAGACGTCGACACTGGCGACGACGAGGGAAGCTGGCGACGAACGCGACAGACTTTGGCGAACAGACTTAGCTCGAATTGTTGCTCGACAAGCTTTTTTTTCCTCTGGCGAGTCAAGCTCGAGCTCAACTTTTGAGCTTGACTTGAGTTCGAGCTCGGTATTGACAATCGAGCTCGGCTCGAACACCCCCCTGACTTGAGCTCGTCTTGACTCATTTGCACCCCTACTTCAGGATCATGTGGTTTATATTGAAATTATTGTAATTCATAATATCTTGATATAAAATACATCAGAATGACCTTCAAAGCCACTTTAAGGATTTGTTGGAGGATAAATTATTTTGTATATATCCGGATGGTCCGAAGACCAATCAGAATGTGCCATGTCATCCGGTACACAGCGGTACCAGACAAAAAAGTGACGTGACGTGTTCTGGTGTTCGCACATGATACTTTTTCTTGTTTAAGTCAGCTTTCTCATAGCTTTACTTTTTAAATCACATCATAATTGTACTATGCTACAACCTTTTTATTATTTTATCGTTGCTTTTTAGAATTTCTTTTTGTGATGGGAAATAATTTTTAACAAAATTTTATGATAGCTTTAAGGGTCTATTTGAGGTTATTATAGGTTTTTATAAAGTTAACTGTGAAGTTGTTATGTGGAAAATAATTTAGCTATTTTAATTATAAAAATCTTTTTACAATAGAAAGTTTTAAAAAGCTGAAAAAACAATAACCAAACAAATTATAAGAAAAAACTGTTCGTGATAGGTTATAATTTTTTTTTCTTTTATATATTTTTTATGCATTTTGATAGTTTATATATTTATAATTTTAAAATCTTCCCATTTATATTAAAAATAATTTACATATAATATTCTAAATTATATCAATATTAATATAAATAAAATAAATTTAAAATTTTATTTTACATCACAATATTCACATATAATTTATTTTATCTTTTTTATTGCATTTTTTCTGCCGACAATGTTGTGAACTTGTGATAGTTTAATTCATTAATTTATTTTATGGGTACCAATCGCAATAAAAAAATGTGAAGGTCTTGACGGCTAGCTGGCTTGAGAACCGTAACAATGAAAAATAAAATGAGAGAAAATGGAAACTTGAAGAAGTAGGGATTGGGTCAGATCTATCGTATCGTTCCATTTGTTTTGCTCGTCCCAGATCTTCCTCTGCGGAGGCTCTATTACTTTTCCCGCATCTGTGGGTTCTTCGGCGATGGAGGCCGCTCGATCTATGGCGATTCTACCGTGGATCGCGTTGGTGTTTTCGTTATACGCTCTCAGGGGAAATGGCTTTTACCTCCCCGGCGTCGCGCCCGCGGATTTCCAAAAGGTAGTTACGGGAATCAGTAGCTTCTAGATTCTGTTGATGTTATCTTGCCTGACTCGATCCATTTGATCCTCGAGATGCTTTACTTCTTGATCAGTGTATCTTATGTGATTACATTCGTTCTTCGTAATCTAGGGCAAGGTTTGGATTTGCTATTGGTCGGTTAAAGATTCTTTCTTTTTGGATCACTATGTAATCTTTTTTGGGTCTTCATTTTTGCTATTGAGAAGAAGTAGGCTTGTTTTGCAGTACAGTACCGTGAAGGTCATGTAACATCTTTTGCTTTTCGCTGGTTGAAGATTCGGGAATAATGCATGGGTGAGGATGAGGAGAACTAAGGGCGAGTTCTGGTTGGGGGAGAGGGAGACGATTAGCATAAGTTGCAAGTAGGATTTAGCAAATTCAGATTTGGTAAATTTTATTCAAGTAGGGTTTAGTAAATCTTGATTGTGTAAATCCTGGGAATTCTTTCATTGTTAAGAAATGATAGGTTCCTGTAACTAAAGGTACTAGATTTTCACAAAATCCACTATCAGACCACTGTAACTTACTGGTAACCATGGATCACACACAGGAAAAAAGAAATAGCAAGATAGCTCCTGAGTCAACAACCATGAAGAAAAAATGGAAGTGATGCGCCATATTACCAAGATTGACTACAAGCCACTGTTGGAGCTTGTAGGGGATCCCAGCTAGTAAGAATTGTGGTTGAGAAAAGTTTATCGAGTTGGAGATTTGGCGTGAAAGGTTTAGGTAGGCAAGGGACAAAGAGATGCAAGAAAGGGCGGACAGGTGAGGGAGGTAGAGAACATGGAGTAATTCACTTGAATGCAATCAAAGTGGAATTTGATAAATCCCCTATATGGGCTGAGATTTATCAAATTCTGCTAAACCTAAGATTTGTTTTAGATGGAATTTAGAAGCCTATTGTTAGGAATTTGGTTGGATTTAACATAAATCCTCCTTAAATCTTATTTATAAAATGATCACCCATACAACACCTTTAAAGCAATAGAAATTTGGTTATGAGAAATCCATAACCTTTCATTTGAAGTCAAGCACTTCTTAGACTTCATTTGTGGCAGTTTATACTTTTATATTTTTAATATTAAAAGAAAGCCACATTTTTTCCCCCAAAAACAGCTTTTCTAAGAAAAAAATTTCGAAAAGAAGTGAAAATGTGGTCATAAAAATGGATACTGTTATATTTTTTATCACTTTCCTATGACAAAGCACTCAAAATGTTGTCTCAAACAAAATCTTAGATTCTGTGTTGGGTATTGGTTAGAACAGGATGAATGCATTTAATTACTGTAAGTAGATATTACTCTTTTTTTTTTTTTTTTTGCTTATCCTTTTTGCTATTATAACTCCCACTAAGCTCCGTTACTGATAACCACAATGGTCTTGGGGGAGAAATTCAATTACATTGCTTTGAAATACGCCCTCTCTATTAAAGTAGTGCTGCCTTGCAATTAATTGGAAGAAAAACAAAGTAACGGCACCAATATTACCATAATATCATCAAATGTATTAAGTGAACTCAGTCACTGGTATATATTTTGTATTTCTTCTCCAGGGAAGACAAGTTTATTTATTTTATTGGTTGATGCCTTTTTGAGTTTAAACCTGGTACACATTATCTGGGAAAAGAAAACAATTTACAGACTATCAATTTATTTGATTCTAGAACTTACTTGGCCATTGATTTTTCCAACTGACCCCATAGTTTGGTTTCAGTAAATAGACGTTTACATGAATCTTTTTGAGGTTGTACATGTGCTATAATGCATTGGTTTTCAGATACCCCTTTAAAATTCTGAGCGTTATGTAAAAGGAAACCTCAAAATATTATAAATAATTGAGAGGCCACAGGTCAATGTATTTTTCACTTACTTCCATCAACACTTGATTACATGAAATAATTTATCAGCACACATTTAAACAGTTGAATTCATTAGGTCGTGTGCTCCATCATTTAAAGTTAATCAAATTTCAAAGGTTAGCATTATTTCCTGTAGGTTTTATGGGTTGATTAATGAAAAGAACATTAAAATTTAACATCAAGACAAAATTCAAGTTGCTTCACTTATTTGTGAGAAGTAACCCTTTTATTGAATCATCAAAGATAAAGGATCTTGGTAACAATATATGCTTTTGAGCATCAAAGATAAAGGATCTTGGTAACAATATATGCTTTTGAGCTTCAAAAACCCTGGTTGCTGTCATATCTTCAGATAGTAATAATATCTTTTGTTTTATTGCCATTACAAAAGTCTCATCTAAAATTGAGACAACTCCTTTTTCTTTTTGAACTTAAAATATGAAATTAGAATCTAAATATGGAGAAATCATCTTATATGTAAAGGTAACATAATTATGGAAAGTGTAGAGGGTTAGTTTTGCATGAAATAATATATGAAGTTGTAGTGAATTGTGAAATTTAAAGAGCAAAAGAAAAAACAGTTAGGTTTAATCATGAAAGAATATTGATAACTTGTTGCTTCTCTCTCTCTCTCTCTGTCTCTCTCTCTTTTCTATTTTACCATAAAATATGAAACAAATGAATGGTATAATTTGTGAAACCTTTTAAGTAAAAAGAAGCTAAACTCTTAAATATTGAGGTGCCTTTTGATGTAATGGTTGGAATTTCAATTAGAAACTCCAAAGTGTGCTCGTGCTAGAGCAATCATGAATCAATGACCTTTGGGAAATTACACCAACAACAACAACAAAAACAAGCCTTTGTCCCACTACGCGGGGTCGGCTACATGAATCATTTTTCGCCAATGTGTCATATTAAAAGTCAAATTCTCATTTAAATCTAATAAAAAAAGATCATTTCTAATATTTTATAACCAAGTCTTTTTAGGTCTACCTCTACCTTTCTTAACATAAGTCAAATCTAATGCCTCAACTTTCCTAACCGGGTCATCGGAAGGCCTCCGTTTAATGTGACCAAACCATCTAAAGCCAAAGTGAACAATACATCGATAGTTAAGAGTTTGAACTGTTACAAAATGTTATCAGCGCAATACATCAGCCGAAAGATGAGAATTAAGTGTCATACAAGATAAAGTTATATGCCATGGGGGCCACCTCTTGAAACCTATATGGGATCAAGTGTTGCATGGCGGGAGCCACCACTTGAACTTGTTGGGACCATCTCTAGTATCCTATATGCCTGGTGGATGATTCTGGGATAATGATACTGACGAAGATGTCAGTTAAGTGAGAGAGATTTGAAACCCCTTAAGTAAAAAGAAGCTAAACTCTTAAATATTGAGACGTTTTTTGATGTAATTGTTGAAATTTCAATAAGAAACTCCAAAGTTAAGCATGCTTGTGCTAGAGCAATGAAGCACTCTAGGATTGAGAGAAAGTAAGAGAGAATATTTGACTCAAAGAATAGATTAAAATAAACACTTGAAGACTTTATAATGATTTTAGAAATGAGGCTCTTTCATTATTTTTAGCAGCTGAAATTGAACCTTTATTTATAGCCACATGGGCTGGAAGATGAAGAAAATCTCCTCATACTTGCATCCCTAAAAGGACTAGAAGTCAATTAGTGGTTATAAACTAGCTTGTCAATGTTGCACATGTCACAGCCATGTGTTGTCATGCGTGTATAAGCACACGGGCACACGACTCTTATGATAAATTGATAAGAATCGTTACTCTTATGATAAATTGATAAGAATCGTTTTATGCTTAGAGATGTGTGGACATATAGAAGGCTCACAACTTCGGGACTCATTAGGATTGCTGCCATTGAAAATTATTAGAAATTTAGGTCATTTTTGAATTTGTTTTATATTCATTTTGTTTCTGTTTTATTTTATTTTATTTCTATTTTGTTTTGCTTTCACTTAAAGGAAAAAAAAAACATGTTTGGTTGATCTATTTATTCTCTTTTCACAGAAAAAGTTGAAAGTATTTTTGTTAATCAAAATAGAAAACATAATTATTATAGATATAATTATTATAATGAAGTCAATCTATTTCATATTTAAATTATCCGAGTGCTATCATAATTTAATCTTTTCTAAGTCTTAATTACTTTTTACCATCATAATTGCTGATTAATTAATAACTTATTACTCTAATATTTTAATTAATTATAAATACTATAAATTTAATTAGCCAAACTAAAATTTATTAATATTTTAGTTCTGCAACCCTTAAGTAATATCCAATTTGCATATATATAAGCAGTACTAAAATTTAATGATTTTTCTTAAAATACTTTTTAATTTTGTTAACCATAATAAATAAATAATTACTAGTATGTTGGAGTAATTAATTGACTAATTAATAATGTCGGAACTAATTTTCTTAATTAAATACTAATAGAACCTTATGAATCTGAATGAAAACCATTAATTCATAATTTACCTAAGTAAATACTTAATTATTGATTAGTTTGTTCAATTATGTGTGCATTGATTATATAAGTCCTAGTTAACATAATTAATAATAAAATTGTTTGCCTATTATTATTACTGATTAACATGACCCTAAACCTTAATTAATTATCTTTTGCATGTTATTATTGTTTAATACTATCTTTTTGGGTAGTTAGTCCATTAGTTTATACTCATAAGTCTAATCATTTGAATAAAAATAATAAAAATTTAATAACTTAATTATAATCTTAATTAACCACTTTACCCTTACCAAACATGGCCTTAGAAATTGTAAAATAGTTTTACAAACAAAGTAATTAAATGATTGAAATATATTTATATAAAATTTAAGTAGAAACGTAGTTTAGCTAGTGTTCATTAATTTCTTGAGCCATTAGTTTTTTACAATCTAAATCCCATTCAAACATGATAAGACATTTAAGACACCCAAAAGAAGATTTTGAGCTCGATTCTTCATATCTTCATGTTCTAAACTAATTTTTTAATGTGTCGTACTTATGAAATTTTGTTAAAGAGTAATTTAACTTAGATTATGATGTGATATTAATGTTTCTTAAAATTAGTTTAGTTTCA